TTTGATTATTTGCCTGAGGCTTGTGGTGTGAAAGTGTTTCAGCTTCCTGACATGGCGTTGATACACCGTCCACGTTTCGCCACGATTCTGGCGAGTATTCGAGACAAAATATTCAAGCCAGGGATAACAATAAACCCAATGCTTCTGAAAAATTCTCTGTCTCTTAGTAGTGTCATATTTGACGATTTTTGCCATCACCAATTGTTGTATGTCTTTTTGGAGAAATAGCTAAAGCACACTCAGTGTCCGTCTTTCGTTTTATCCGTCCATATTCAAACAAATATACCTTCTCCAAATCGGCGTTATTACCTTCCTTACGAAAATAGTTTAGCAAACTCATTTTATCCACAGAGTATCTATTTGTTTGATTGATTACTACTTCTAAAGTGATCATAACAAATTATCTCTCTTAAATACGAACTGAAACCGCACATTAATTAGTGTACTTGTATCGCTTCAAACACAATATCACACGTGGAAATTAATTATCTGTATAATCAGTTATAAATTAAAGAATCATTAGTCATTTAATCAGTTCATACAGGAAACCGACACTGATGTCTGTAAAATACATATCATTAATTTAATTACGCTGACTCGCTGGATTAACATCATAGTGAATCGCTCGTTACGATCTAGTCTGAGTTTCCTCTGACCCTTGCCACCCCATTTTTTGATATTTGGATATTTATATTGGGTTGTAGGTTCAGAGTCCATTCCCGATCGAAAAGTTTGAATTCGCCGCCACCATTTTGTGTCGGCATAGGGTAGCCGTTTACTAACCGGCCTAGCAAATTTAAACGACCTTTCATCGAGATATACCTGCATGAAATGGATAGGAATACGAGTTATTTTCTCAGATATTGCAAGTATAGCATTCGTTATAGCTTTAATCCACTGACAGACTAGCCGAAACAATAGTGTTGATGAAATTTGACATGGAACTCGCCATTATTACAGGACTACACAAATCTCGCGACCCACATGTCAATGACTTCAGGGTTCAAATTGTCACATGATATCAACAATTAACCATTTCTAAAGTTGCTGTGGGAAAACAAATGGAGTTCATAAATGAAATTCACATAATATTTACAACATTGCTAATTGATCCAACAGGCTTTCCTTTGTGTGACGTGTTTTGATTTGCCGATAATTTGGTTCCTTAGCCCAATATGCAGACAAGAGGTAACAGGATGTAAATGTATACAGGAAGAGGGGATAGAATCAAGTATTTAGTATGCCCAGAGGGTATGATTGGTCAAATAAAGGTAGATATAATGATTATAGCACGAAAATAAGGACTAGCCCAACTTTAAAAAAAAAATAACACTTGTCCTGTACTGGCGACTTGGAAAATTTTATTTGCCCGACTTCAAAACGACTAGTCCGGGACGTCGGGCTATAGGATTTGCTCAGCCCTGTTTATACTATGGAACTGGCGCTTTATACTCATCCCTGAACTGAAAATGGGGAACTGACGCTTTTTTATCCTGGAGTAGTGGGGGAAATGACGCGATATAATCATCTCTTTAAACAAAGGAAATGATTACATGTAATCAACCCTTTAAACTAGGGAACTGGCGCTATGTAATCATCCCCTTGTACTGGAAAAAAAATGCATTACTTTATACTGGAGAACGGACAGCATATAATCGCGTCTTTATACTGGCAAAGTTTTGCTATGTAATCATCATATAATACTGGGATACTGGTGTTAAGCTTGCCTTTTTATTGGAGAAATATATATAATCATCCCTTTGTACTGAGGAATTGACGCTATATAATCATGTGGGAAATTACAAGTAATCATATCTTTATACTTGGGAACTGATGTTATGCAATCATCAGACTATCTGGAGTACTGATGTTATGTAATCATCAGACTATCTGGGGAACTGGTGTTATGGAATAATCAGACTATCTGGAGTACTGATGTTATGTAATCATCAAACTATCTGGAGTACTGATGTTATGTAATCATCAGACTATCTGGGGAACTGATGCTATGCAATCATCAAACTATCTGGAGAACTGATGCTATGTAATCATCAGACTATCTGGAGAACTGATGTTATGTAATCATCAGACTATCTGGGGACCTGATGTTATGTAATCATCAGACTATCGGGGACCTGATGTTATGTAATCATCAGACTATCTGGAGAACTGATGTTATGTAATCATCAGACTATCTGGGGACCTGATGTTATGTAATCATCAGACTATCTGGGGACCTGATGTTATGTAATCATCAGACTATCTGGAGAACTGATGTTATGTAATCATCAGACTATCTGGGGACCTGATGTTATGTAATCATCAGACTATCTGGAGAACTAATGTTATGGAATTATTAGACTAATCATCAAATTGACATGGAACATCAAATTGACATCATCAAATCAGCACACTATCTAGAGAACTGATGTTATGTAATCATCAGACTATCTGGATACCTGATGCTGTAATCATCAGACTATCTGGGACTGATGATATGTAATCGTCACTTTATACTGGTCAAATGATGCTATGATATCGTAATTTAATAACATGGTTTATCCTGGTAAACAAGCTAATATTCGCGTCATGCTGGGAAATTTGTGCAAGGAAACACAGAAAAATTTAGCACTTGCTCTAAAAAGAAACCTTAAGGCGAAAGCTGTATATTTCAACAATAAATTGTAGCAAAATCTAAAGGTTGTAATCAAGTTCGTTCCCCGATTTATGGAAAATCGGCTAAGCAATACTAAAAAATATGATCTTATCAACATAAGAGTCTTTGTCCACCTATGTCTGACTCCTTATACTTGCTTTTCTTGATGACATAAGAACCAGTTGTATATTACATTGTATGAAAGGAATGAAATCCAGTATCAAATATCTAATATTTGACAATTTGCATGTGTCGTTTGCAGAAGTAAAATTCGTTGAGTTCGATTGGATGCTGATAAAAACTGAAGTAATAGAAAAAAAGAAATGTATATATATGTTGTACACTGCTCTTAGAAATGTTATGCCTAAGTGAATGATAAACCCCATTTGACGGATCATCTAGGTCTAGACATAAATAGCTAATAGATGTGTTTAAGTTCGTATGGTGTGGTGATGTTTTTTGTGGGGATTTTCCCCCCGATACAAGTTGATTATCAAAGGGCGAGGAATTTGACTAAATTAAATTGCCGAATGACACACCGCTGTAACCGATATGAGCTGATCCTACAGCAGGATTCGAACTTTTTTTTATTTTGAACCTTTATCATTTGGTTACAATACTGATGAATGTTTGACACCTCAACAATGTGCTCTTTTTCCTAACAAAATTTCTTTAACCGAAAAATCTTGCTCGTAGCGGACGGAAACCATCGTACAATCAGTTCACCAGTTTTACAAATCACTACTGATGTGAACCGTTATCCTAAACAGAGTGTACATATTGGGCGATAGTAATAAATTTAGACAAAGAATGATAATTTGCTGCATTCACAGAATAGTTTACAATCAATCTTTCTGCTGAAAGGAGATTTCCCGAGGGTAATCAGTGTAAATAAAGTTTGCTGAATGAATGCTAACGCTTTAGGCTTAATACATTGTTATTGTTGTTTTATAAGACATATTTTAATCGCCGTACCGACAATACAAATACAGAACTTGAGATCAAAGAAAAAAAAATATATCGGCTCTAAACAAAACCGCCGCCTCCTTCCCCATGCAAACAAAAAAACGGAATGGTCAGTATCTTAATGTAGATTAATTTGGTATTATTTTATAATTGTTTGTTAAATTTTTATCTACAAATGCAACGAACATGTGATGATTAAGATTAGACTATACCTAACACCATGTTACAGACACAGAGTTGACGTTAGATAACATTTTGAAATGTTGATCCTGAAGACTACAATTCAAAATCTTTACAACCAATAAAACAGGCAGGGAAACTCTACGTGGGATGCCAAGACACAGGCAAGATATTTATGAAAGAGGACAGATAAATCTCAAACACATTTAGTCAACCAACGAGAAAATATTTAATAGCAGGTTGAAATGACATAATCATAAAACATCTTTTCTAATAAAAAAAAATATTTGGATGTTCTCCATCTTACAAAAGAATACATGAACTTAACACATAACATCAGCTAAGTGAGAGAAAATGTTTTTAAAAATAACAGTTTTTCTTGAAATCCAATTTTTTTATAAGAGTTACATTTGGCACGAATATCTTTTACAAGATCCTTTATGGCTACCAAGCTGGCATAATTAACACGTGTCAAACATGTGGTTAAAGGATCATAAATATAATTATATTTCTAATATTAAAAAATTAGTTTGTTACAAATTGCAACTGGTTCTTAAAAAATAAATATTTTTATATTATTTTGTCATGAAAAATTAAAACATGATAATGTCAGTAAATTCGCAACAAGATTTATCGCAATGTTCCGAACATTCTATACTGACGGATACTACCTAAGTGCCGGTACAGTGAACAAATACCGTAGTGCGTACCATCGGATTAAAATAAACAATACTGAGATAAATCGATATACCTGTAATCAAATGCACCTATATATTTATATTTACATAGACTTGCAAAAACAAATTTTAAAATAAATCTTTTTGGGGCGGTGATTGGTTTATATTAATCGTGAATATTGAATTGAAAACTGTCGATACAACAAAGTAATAAAATAATGAATTATCCATTAATAAAGTTTGCTTGTGGGGATATGAATAGTCAGCACGACACTTTAGTACTTTTCAATCTTTAAAATATCAGGTTCCTACATACAGGAACATATTTTCAAGCCACATTATATTTCTGAGAGTAATAATCCTTAAAATGTATTGCCTAGTTGGCATGAATACACACGCATAGTGACTTTATTACGTAATTCACATACAGTGGGTGTATGTATGTGTGTGATATGGATTTGTAACGTAGCTTTAGTGCCATTAACAGCTGTTAGTACCATTTTCTAAACAAGTCTTTTGTATGACTCGGCCGTGGTTCGAACCCGTGACCCCCCGCATCTGAGGCGGATGCTATAACCACCAAGCCACCGAAGCGATCATATATAATGCACTGTTGCATAAATAAATTAATACATTAATGAATAATGGCGATAAAAGCGTGTGCACACAAATCCTTGGGGAAAACGACAAACAGACAAACGAACAGACTGACATATATACAGAGCGAGAGAAGATAATTAAAGTTGGTAGCTTTCTTACACCGTACAATACCATTAATGTTAAATTGTCACTTTATCCACAACGAAATCAAGGAATAGAACGGTTATTTAGATAAATCAGGAACATTAATGACGTTTGCTTACAAATCGTTCTGTGATCTGTGCGCTCTTCTAGGTCGGGAACAGTCTCGTGATGACGATGAACTTATAAAATTGATTTCATGGTTGCCTAACCGTGTTGTTTCGTAATCAGTCAAAATCTCATCCATCATAAAACAGTCGCGTAATCCTATGAACTAAGATTTTTTTAAACCAAATTCAGCAAATAATTCTGAATAATAGAATAATTAATGTTTCTGTATACTGGCTGTATCATAAGCAATGAGGAAGAAAGGGATTTTATATGATAAAACGTAAGAAATTGCAAGGTAAGTAAAACTAAGTCTATATACTGGTTTATGTATTGGCCATAGCTTCTGTGCTCGTATGCGCACTAACTTCCTAGCGGTCAGTTAAGACCCGGAAGAAAGAAGCGTTTGATAAAATGAAGATACACTATTAAAAGAATGTATGACCCAAATGCAAATTAAGATGTTAAAGTCTTAACAAAACTTAAAAAGCTTATAATTATTTGAAGTACTGCCTTAACAGATTCAAGATCGAATCAAGTCATCGCTATATAGATAAAAAAAAACGTGCATATTAAACTTTGTTTATCTACCTGATGTCCTTTATGATTAATGTATGTAAAAGTTTTTTATAAAACGGTTAAATGCTAAAACAAATCAAAATATTGAAATGAAATAATGCATCAATGTTCTAAAGATCTTATCAGAAGGTCAATATATATATATATATATATATATATATATATATATATATATATATATATATATATATATATATGCAATAAACTGACGACGAACAGTGCAAAACTAGTAACTAACTAGCCTGAGCGCTTTCGACTCTTAATGAGTCTTTTTCAAAGGCAAATAAAAAACATATACAAAACAAAGAAATAAACACAAAAACGTTGTGTTCGTAAAACTCTACATGGCTGTCTCCACATGAGTTAAACCTATAAATACATTGTCTCAACCAGCCTGTATAGACTTGTTAAGATTGCTGAAAATACTGAGGGAATTATAATATGAGACAGACAGACAGAGAAAGAGACATACGCGCGCGCATGCATTTAATGGTTTTGGCACAATTTTGCGAACAAGCTTCTCAGGATAGACGGAAGGATGTATGGGCTCTGACGGAAGATCAGTACAAATTAAAATCAAAACGACTCCACTCTCGTGTTGGTAGAATAAAATTAAAGCTAGGGTGTGATTATAGTGTCACCGCAAGGTATTATTTTGTGCAATAACGTAGAGAAGGATCTAATTTCTATGCAATATTATATGTAATTACATTGCGTCCAATCCCACCCCAACCCCTTCTAATAATGGTGGCTGCCCCCTTCTAATTCTTCTATTTAAGATATTCTATGGGTAGATTGGTGAAAAAAGAATTTGTCGGAGCAACCTAGGATACCGTGATGAAGGACATAAATATGAAATGCAAATTGATTGAATTTATCGACTGAAAAAGGGATTTGAATTTACATATTTACAACTCCCATTATACAAACAGGATACACCCGTATCTGCCATTAAGAGTCCACACAGGATGCACTTAACTGACAAACAGCATAGACCCGTATCTGCCATTGAGTTAACACAGCATGCACTTAACTGACAAACAGCATAGACCCGTATCTGCCATTGAGTTAACACAGCATGCACTTAACTGACAAACAGCATAGACCCGTATCTGCCATTGAGTTAACACAGCATGCACTTAACTGACAAACAGCATAGACCCATATCTGCCATTGAGTTAACACAGTATGCACTTAACTGACAAACAGCATAGACCCGTATCATTGAGTTAACACAGTATACACTTAACTGACAAACAGTATAGACCCGTATCTGCCATTGAGATAACACAGTATACACTTAACTGACAAACGGCATAGACCCGTATCTGCCACTGAGAGTCCACACAGCATGCACCTAACTGACAAACAGCATAGACCCGTATCTGCCATTGAGTTAACACACTATGCACTTAACTGGCAAATAGGATAGACCCTTATCTGCCGTTAAGAGTCCACACAGCATAAATTTAACTGATAATCAGTACAGACCCGATTCTGCCGTTACGACTCCACACAGTATGCACTTAACTGACAAACAATATATTCCCATTTATGTCACTAAAGGTCCACACAGGGTTCACCAGTTTGTACTCAAATGCAAAATCACAGATCCAGACCTGCCAGTAATGACAATGCTGTTACAGTGGTGTGGATTCTACGACACTTACCCCATACCTAGCAGGAAAATACAAGAGTACCTCGAAGGAACTATCGCTCTACTTGCTTTAAAAAATTTCTAGGAATTCAAAATAAGACCCTTTCTTTCTTACAAATTCTGAGTGTTGAAACCGTCTTAGATAATTTTTAGCAATAAAAAGATTTTAAAATAAGCTGCTGTGGTTGGTGGATATACTTGACGCCAGTTTATCAACATTTTCATTTAGATCAAACACGATATTAAAAATGGTCTTCTGGTGAAGACCGCTATGTTGATCTAACATTCCGTTTTGGTGAAGTGATGAAACAAGATTTTCAAGATGGATGACATGGTGGCCATATCCAATAACAGACTGGGACACTGTCTACTGAGTAACAATTTGCTATCATCAGATGCCTCATGGTGGAAGTACAAAGTCGATCTAATAAGATATCGAGGAGAAACAATGATAACGAGACTTTCTAGATGGCCATTGTGGCAGTCATATACGTCGGATCGGCACCATTTTCATTTAGTACTTACTAGATGTCAACCAAAACATATTTTCATTAAAAACCCCACTTTTTCACATCAGCAACAATTCAAAACAAGTAGCGATAAACACATTTTCAAAATGGTGACTGTGACAACCTTAATGGATGTCTGGGTGGCAATATTTCCATTTAGCACTCACTAGACCATGGGCTGAGTGTGTACATAAAGTTTCACGCCAATCCTCCAAGTAGTTTAAGTGGAGTAGCGATAACTAGCTTGTGCTAAGAAATTAGCGAAAGACAGCTATCCCACAGACTGTTCTGCTCTATGCCGAGGTGTGTACAAAATGGCGATGATTTTGGTGCTCTAGCTTATAATTATATGCCTCAAGTATATTGTCTCACCACCCAAAATTTCAATTTATAATATACCAATTTATTTCTTTACATTTCCAGTCAGTTAACCGAAGAGCTGATGAACCTACTAAATGATTTAGATGAAATGTTTGCCAGCAGTGGTAACTGGAAACGGGTTCTCATTTATGCATGTAAATGATTTGACTGATAATTGGAATGGGAAGATATGCTGAGAACTAGCCTGAATAACACCACTAAATCTTAGCTCCTCTTACATCTGACTCCATTCTCTGAATCGATCAGTTCGCATCTTCAAATAGGAGCGGCGTGGATGTATAAGGCTAAGATTGATTAATCAATATTACAATTTGGGGGTGTTTACATAATAAGACCCTAAGCAAAACGCAAAATACTCGGATGTGAGCACTAGACAGACTTAGCTGCACATAAATCCTTAGCAATGTCCATTATATAGCAGGGTACTGTTATCCATGAAACAATAGCTCAATTAATTTGTTTCTTTTTTACATTCGTGAATTTTGCACAGGTCGAAAATCATATTTCTTTATATCAAATATATTGAGACAAGTGTAAATTGCTTAGTGATATTTTTTTGTAAGCTAATTATTGAAATGAAGCCAGGTAAACCTGTGACAACTATTACGGCAAGTCGTATAAATAAAAAAAATCCAAACGATTTTCAAATGTATCAAATAATTTAAACTGACTTTATCTTTTTGGGTACGGTAGTGTTCTGGTCGTGATTAAACAGTATAAAAACCGCTTTATTGTTTCCTTCTTCCATGAAAAAATTACCTGAGATCGCATGTTGGATTCATTTATGCTCAGTCTCTCCTCGAGTTTATACGACAAACGGTACAAATTGTATTGAAAAATGAGAACCAGCCTAGAAATGGTTGAACATTAAATAGAGTATATACAGGTTTGGCTGACCAGGATTGGTTAATAATGTAAGTTATATTTTGGGAAAAAGAATCTTTTGAGACCTTATCCTAGCTGAAAGTGAATAAAAATAGAGATTGTATTACTGATGGAATTTCAGTACTATAACAGTCTTGTGTTTGGAAGACTCGTTACTAAAATTAGCACCTGAGTCTTTAGTGCAGAATTGAAAGCACATGTTTCAAACATATGCAGGTCCAGAAAATGACGCGGTTCATATCCTTTCCTCTGCACTGAAGCTGACTTCAAGGTTTCATCTATATTAATAATTATATGTTTGGTTATAAGCACTCAAACAATTTTAAGTTATTGGATTTTTAATATCATGGTGTTTGCATAGGATTACTATAGGAACTGAATTAGTACCGTGATTCCTATAGCGCTGCGATACACAAGGGTCAAGTGATGCTATTGCATCGGTGACGAAGTGTTCAGCTTACCTTGGCGAACAAAGACCCGAAATTATTCAATACGTTTCGTAAATTTAATATTAAATCATCAGCTATTTGAGATCATTTTTTCATCACCGTTTTTATATCTGTAGAAATTATTTGGACAGAAAGAAGGACAAATAATTCGTTCATTGGGACTGCAAAGATGCAACTTTCATTTGTTGCGCGTAAAAATAGTCCCAAACGAAGATGAACAAGTATTAACGTTTAAAAGTAAATACTACTATTCTTTTACAAATCATAAATTAAAGAACAAAAATC